GATGTTAATATGAATACTATTAAATGATCGAATATAATGGATAATTATAGTTATTCGGCATGGAGCAATTAAAGTGGACAACCCCTATTAAAAATGGAAACGGACGTGAAAATTTTTTAACTAAAAGTCCTGTGATATATAGAACTCCTGTAAAGCAATATTGTACAAATGCGAAGCATAGAGCATATCAAAGTAACGTGAATTCACTTAGAATGCTTCCAAATCACATTACACCCCCATCAGGTTTGACAAAGTTTATAGCAAGAAATCCATTTGAGACTGATTTAACTAATAGACTGCATTTATCTGTGATTAGTCCAACTGTCTTCAGTAAGGTGATTTTCCAGAGTGTTTATTGAAACAGTTTAATGAAATTATGTTTTAACAGTCATGCTAATAATTGTTAATAATATCCTTAGGTATCAGAACGATCTCAACAGTCGCCAGACTTTGAATGGAGCGTAGATGAGTTGGCGTTGATACAACCAGCAAAAATAGAAGAATTTCCCATGCAACAAATACATTGCACAGATCCAGAGACTGAAATAAAAGCTCAAGCAGCCATTGATCGATTCTTCAATGAAAATGAAATAATTCCAAGCCCTTGGGAAATAAAGAAAAAGGAGATTAGAACAACAGTAGACGTGGATACTCCTGCAAAAGCTATTGGCGACCTGAACTCTGAATCTTCCAAATCGAAAAAAGATGGTATTATAAATAACTTGGGAATCTGTTTTCTATTTTTGTTTTAATTTTGATATTGCTTTAGGTTGGAGTCAAACAGTATTAACTTTTCCATCCGAACTGCCAGCTCATGTTATGGAAATTTTAAAACCTTACTTTACATTCATTCAAGTAAATATTATCATTATATTAACCTTACTTTTGGACGTTACAACTTTGCACTTTTGTTGCTTTGGTTTTAGGAACAAAATATCGACAATGACGATGCGAATTCTAGTAATAGTTCCTTAAGACGAAAGTTGTTTTTTAATCATGAAGATTATGTAGATAATGATGAAGATTCCTCAATCTCTATATCATCATCAGTAAACATAAATGAATCTGTAATATCTTCCAGTCCTCCACAGAGTGGAATGTTAATTCATGGTTCACCATTGAAAGTAAATAAAAACTTCTTTAATTAACTTTATTGTTCTTTTTTATATAAATTCTGAAGTATCTGAATTCAAATTATTTTTTTTTTAGTATTCGCCAAGCAAAAATTGTCATCGCGATACGTCAAAAATAATCACAGGGAGTTTATCGCCTCCTAATATATCTCCTATACACAGTACAATAAATAGAATGTCGTGTGAAAGTATGAGGTCTCAATCTCGTTCGGTTGCTCGATTGAATTTTAGTATGGACATGAGCATAGATCGATTTAGTATACAACATAAAGAATTATCAAATCACCATTCTTTAGGTAATAATTTTAAAGCAATTATATGATTTTCATTAAAATATTCAAATAATGTTATTATTTGCAATAACTATGTACTACATGTTTCAGATGAATCCCCTATTAAAATAAACGCAGATAAGAAAGTTGACAATTTCTTAAATCTAGAAAGCAATTCTACATATATTCAAGGTGATACCCAAACAGAAATAAAAATTCTAGCAAAGAATTCAACTCAAGTTAAGCACAATTTTGAGAATACGACTTCAAAATCGAATGTTAAACATAATACTGCTACCGACACATTTAAATGTTTGACTAATTCATACAAAGTGAATGCGAACGAATGTTGTATGTTCCAGCAGGTGAACACAATATTAGGTATTTCTGATGTGCAAAGCGTTTCGAATTCTGCACAAGACACTGGTTATCAAACTTACAGTATGAATAGTGCAACGAACGTTGATAGTTATAATACTCCAGTAAAGCAAAAAGCTTATTGGGAAGATCGAATTTTAGTGGCTGATGGTGAATTTTGTTTGCCTGATTGGAAAGAGAATATAAAGAATATATTTAGTTCTACTCCATCACGGTCGCATAGAGATAATATATGTTAGATAAATTTCTTTTATATAAAAAAATTTGTATAATCCAAGAATGTCTTTCATTTTTGGAAATGAAATTAAAACAAATAATTTGCTCAAACGCTTAGAAAAAAGTTTAAAGCATAATTTTCTATCTATAATTAAAAACAATATTATTATTTATATTTTTCATACTTACGACTTTATCTCAATACGTCAATATGTTTTATTTCTTGATTAAAGTTTATAACACATAGATTTTAATATATATATATATACAATTCTTAATTTTTCACTGATTGATGTCATTTACAGTATATTTTATTTTATATGTGCAAATATTGAAAATTTAATACTGGAATATATAGAATGTATGTTATATTTCTATATTAAAATGTGTAATAATTAATTCGAAAGCAATGGATAGAGGAAAACAAGCAAGTATTGTGACAGATATCAGTTCGATGGAAAACACATTAATCATCGATTGCAATGTTTATAATGATTGTACATAACAATTGAATGTACTTGTTTTAATCTTGTGGAAATTAAATATACATATATCTAATATCTCGAGTCCCTTCCATCTTAAGAGCACGGCATCGAATTATCAATTTTTCACTTCAATTGTTTTCATCGTTTTTTCAACTGAAACATTTGTGGATTAATGCACAACCGTTTCGGCTAATTTCGCATACAAAATTTCAAGTAAACTCAAACTAACTTCAATAAATAAAAGAATATTTTTAGAAAATCTTACAAACCTAACATGAATGCGAATTTAAAAGCCTGCGTTTCTATAAAAGAAGAGCAATTTTACATCTTAGAAGTTTTCATCGATTCTGTCACTTTGTATGCCGAGAAGTTGCAGAAAATCCCTCCAAACGAGCTAGGCGTTGATCTCCAATTTATCGATATGCCATTGTTTCGAATCTTTCAAAGTACTTTCCTCTTAACCAAACCAGACAGATCGAAAGAGATAACACGCGGCTACGGGTTGCACACCGTGAACTTCAACGCCGGTAAGATATACTTGTTCACCAAGAACCCTGGCGAGCTTGTAGAAAAAATGCGATCGAAACCGTTATTACTAGACGTGTATAGAATCAAAGAGATCGTTGTCTGCCCCGAGGAGGTGTTAAAGGATCCACTAGGGAACTCTGTAATTCCAGTGCCAGGCTGCCTCTGCGATTACGTGATGATGCCGGGCAACGATATATTTCACCTGCCGAAGCCGTACGAGATCAAAAATACTTTTTGCCTCGTGGATGAGGAATACAGACCGACCGGTTACATACGCATCTTCTTCAGAATGACCTGTTTCGGGACGTACACCGTCCATCCGTTTTCAATCGTCGACAAGAAATTGTTATTCAAGAACACTGGCTCCTTCAACGAGTTTTTATGTACCAAAGTGCCGTACTTAGACGAAGATGAGAGAAGAGCTTCCGAGGCAGGTGCAAAGTTCTGCCTGCCTGATAAAGTGCCCGAGGAGAGTGAACTGGACACACCTCCGAGACCGGTTAATATAGCCGGTTTGATACTCGCCTGTAAAGAATTGTCGCGAAGAGACGGGTATCCCCCGAATGTCATTCCTCCGAACTACCCGCCGAAAATACCACAGGTACACGTCGAGGAAGTTCCATTTGACATTGACAAGGCGAGACGGAAAGAATTCAAAGAGATAATTGAAGAGGAACCTGGTATCATCGTTGGTACAGAATTTGTCACAACACACAGAGCGTGTATCAACATCGGATGCGCTGGTAACATTTGCTCGGGTCAAAAGTAACCATAGATACTGTTATTTCTTTGTAAAAAATTGACGATCCTGCGAGGTAACAAAAAGAAGTCAAAATATAAAGAAACAACAGCGTGCATCAACTGAGCAAAGGTTTCGTGACGTTCAACCGTGTAGTACGCAAACGACTACCAAAGATGTCGCATCGATGTCACCTCCACTCAGGCTGTAAGGCTGTAAGTCACTTTCCGTGCGGAACCAAATACAGTGAGGTGTAAGCGAGGGACCACTCCTTCCAATCATGAGATTTTTTCGAAGTTGCACGCAACGAGTTCAACATTGAGGAAAAAGCCGAGTTTTCGGGATCGCGCGGACGCGTGCCAGTGGCAATTAATTGTGATATGTGGATTTGACTGGAAAGAAACAATTCGTTCGAGGTAAGCCAGAGCAAATTATCAGTTTACTTAAACGTGTATTTTGGGCGTTGACCGCTAGATCATGATGCATAACACATAACGTTCCTTCTTCCTTCAGCTCCATTCTTCCGAAGAAATGAAGAATCCCTTTCACTCGGTGTAAATATTGTCATGTACAGTTTTAATTGTCGCATGTTGTAGAAAATGTGGATCTGGATTCTGGTGTTAACCTTTGCGTACGGGAACGGCCAGTTCCCGCAAGAACCGAGCGAATCGACGCGTACTCCTTGGAATCGGTTCGACGACAGAGACCAGACCGGATTCGGATTACGAGGTTCCGGAAACTCAGTCGACAATGTCATAATAAAAGAGGCGTAAGTTTTGAATATGATGCACATGGCGATGTGCCATTTTGAAATCATAATATCAAAAATACTTAAAATATAATTAAGAGGAAAGAGTACCAACAATTGAGTATATGATGATACATTGAAGTGACTGTGTACAATTATTTTTGTAGTACTTACTTCGTGGTCGCATCTCGAATGGTTAGACCAGGACAGATCTACCGATTAGACGTAAATGTCTTGTACAGTCCACTGCCAATGATGGTACGTTCGTCCATTCAAAGGAATGGAGTAGAGATAGCTGCGGACTTTCAAGAAGTAAAGGAGGGCATACCGGAAACTCTGATGATGAGATTGCCACCTACGTCCGTTAACGGGGAATACAGATTAAGAGTGGAGGGAACGTACAACAGCCTGACTGGGGGCCAAGCATTTTTAAACGAGACCAAGCTCACCTTTTCGCAACGATCAATGACTATATTCATTCAACTGGACAAACCTGTGTATATGCAAGGGGAAACTATACGATTCAGAACCATACCGATTGATACTGAACTCAAAGCATTCAACAATCCCGTGGACGTGTACATGTTGGACCCGTACAGAAGAATAATGAGAAGATGGTTAAGCAGACAGAGTAATCTGGGAACAGTGTCTCTGTCCTATCAGTTGTCCGATCAACCAGTTTTTGGAGAATGGATTATACAAGTGATAGCGCAAAGTCAAGTGGAGGAGAAGACTTTCTTGGTCGAGGAATATTATCAAACGCGTTTTGAAGTGAACGTCACCATGCCCGCATTCTTTTTTGACAATGATCAATACATAACTGGCATAGTCCAAGCAAATTACACCAGCGGTGCGCCAGTGAGGGGAAATTTAACTCTAAAAGCACGAATTAAGTCGCTGGATAAAACGTACACGGAATCTGGCTCTGAACCAGTGGAGAGATACTTTTATTTCGACGAGTATTACCCCGCGTGGTTGAAAGTTTCGAATTATTTGGAAAACAAGATTCCCGTGCTGAGATTTTTCAACGGGACCTATCATTTCCGGTATCCGATGTCGGAGTTGTTGAACTTCGTACCCACTGCGAGCGGGATGGAGATCACCGTGACCGCGATAGTCGGCGAAAGATTTTTAGACGAGATAATCACCGGTTACTCCACGGCCCGGATATTCAACTCCACCACGAAGATACGATTTCTGGGCGGCTCGCCGCAGGTTTTCAAGCCGGCGATGCCATTTGTCTTGAACTTGGTAGCGTCGTTCCACGACAATTCGGCGTTGAGGCCGACGCAGTTGAAAGGTGCTGTAATGGAGATCCGCGCGGATATCGAGATGAGAGCCGGTGGCCGTAGAATACTGGAAACGCAATATCTGAAACATTCGGCCGACAACGAGGCTATTTGGTCTACCAGGATCGACTTAAGGAAACAGCTTGGCCTCGAGCACAACACGGATCACGCGCAGCAAATTCTCAACGATATCACTTCTATGAAAGTCTTTGCTTATCTCACCGACGGGGAAGGATCCAGAACGCAGACTGAATTGCTACTGTTGGCGCACGAGTCGCCGAATCAACAGCACATAAAAATCTCAACGTCCACGGAGAAGCCCCGAGTCGGCGAGTACATGATATTCCACGTTCAAACGAATTTCTACATCGACACTTTCAACTACCTCATCATGGCGAAAGGTACGATACTTCTGGCGGGGCAGGACAACATGCAGCACAATATTAAAACGATCGCCGTTCCACTGAGCGCGGAAATGGCCCCCGTTGCGACTGCAGTTGTGTACCACGTTGGACAGTACGGTAACGTGGTGGCTGACTCTCTGACCTTCTCCGTGAATGGCATTTCACGCAACAACTTCACCGTGTTCATAAACAACAAGAAGGCCAGGACAGGTGAGAACGTTGAGATAGCCATTTACGGTGAACCAGGAGCGTACGTCGCTCTCTCTGGGATAGACAGATCTTTCTTCACGATGCAAGCAGGCAACGAGCTGACTTACTCCAACGTTATAACGAAAATGGCCCATTTCGACGAGGAGACGAACGGAACTCATTTCCACACGTGGCTGTTCCACGAGGGTGACCCAGACGAGGTCGTTTACTTCCCATCCTCTACCTTTGGCATAGACGTCAACAGAACATTCGAGTACATCGGTTTAGTTGTGTTCACAGATGCCTTTATTTACCGAAGGCCTGACAACTGCAACGCGACCCAAGGATACAGGGAGTGCCTCTCTGGAAGATGTTATAGAATAGAGAAGAAATGCGACGGGGTGTACGACTGCGAGGATGGCACCGACGAGGCAGCCTGCGAGTACAGAAACGCCACTGACATCGCGTTGTTCAGGAAATGGCGGTTCAACAGGTTGCAAAGGCAATACGAGAACGTGTGGCTGTGGAAGGATATCAACATTGGCCCTCACGGTAGATACATCTTCAACATAGACGTGCCGAGGAGACCGGTTCAGTGGATGGTCACGGCGTTTAGTATGTCTCCAAGTATGGGCTTCGGCATGTTGCCAAAAGCCATCGAGTATATGGGCATCTTGCCATTCTACATTAACGTGGAGATGCCCACTCACAGCAAACAAGGCGAGCAAATCGGGATCCGCGTCTCCGTTTTCAATTATCTGCAGAACAACATAGAGGCTGTGGTGGTTCTAACCGGATCCAAGGACTATAAATTCGTTCACGTCGAAGACAACGGTATTGTACAGTCGTACAAACCTCGCACGTCTTTCGGTGAACACCAGTTCTTCGTTTGGATCCCCGCACAGGATGCTTCCATCGTCTATCTGCCTATCGTGCCAGTAAGGCTTGGAGATATCAAAATACACATCTATGCGACCACCGTGATTGGAAGGGATTCGGTCACGCGTACCTTGCACGTAGAAGCCGACGGCCTTCCTCAACACCGACATCAATCCATCCTGCTCGACCTCAGTAATCGTGCTTACGTGTTCCAGTATATGCACGTTAACATAACAGAGACACCAATCATACCCTATGACGAGAATCGTTACTACGTGTTTGGGTCGAACAAGGCTGTGATAAGTTTGGTCGGTGACGTGGTCGGGCCGATTTTCCCGACGATGCCAGTCAACTCCACGAGCCTCATGAATCTTCCCATGGATTGCGCCGAGCAGAATATGTTCAGCTTCGCCGCTAACTTGTACACGACGTTGTACATGCGTCTGCTCAATCAACGTAACAGGACGCAGGAGAGGGAGAGCTTCTATCACATGAACATTGGCTATCAGAGGCAATTATCGTTCATGAACCCCGACGGTTCGTTCAGCTTGTTCCGCAGCGATTGGAACCAGTCCTCGCCAAGCGTTTGGCTGACAGCGTACTGCGCTCGTGTTTTGCAAGAGGCACGTTTCTACGAGTGGGAGAATTATCTCTACATCGACCCCGAGGTAATAGCCCAGGCTGTGTCTTGGTTACTGAAGTATCAAACGCCCGAGGGATCGTTCTACGAGGTCACATGGATGCCCGATCGTAAGATGAACAGCTCTCTGAATTACGACAACGACATAATAGTTCATAGAAATATCAGTCTCACGGCTCATGTGCTAATCACGTTGCAAAGCGTGAAGGATCTGCCCGAGGGTCTAGGAACTCAAGTCGCTGTGAGTGCCGTCGGCGCGGTCAAGTGGTTGGAAAGGAACCTGAAGTTGTTGGAAGAGCGAGGAAAACCCTACGAGATAGCGATAGTGTCGTACGCTCTTTTGTTGGCGAAAGCCTCCACCGCGGGGCAAGCTTTCAACATTTTGTCCAGGCATGCCCGCAGAGAGGGAGGATTGACTTACTGGGGCAGGGAACAAGTACCTCTTCCCCCGTACAAACTGGAAAATCAGAAACCATTCCTTCTTCCCCGGTTGCCGTACATCTACGACTCGGAGAACATCGAGACCACCGCGTACGCTCTTCTGGTGCACGTTGCTCGACAAGAGGTGATGATAGAGCCCATAGTGAAGTGGCTGAACGCGCAGAGGCTGACGGACGGTGGTTGGGCCTCGACGCAGGACACCGCGTGGGCGATGAAAGCGTTGATGGATTACACGGTCAGGTCAAGGATTCGAGACGTCAGCTCGTTGACCGTCACCGTGGAAGCCACGGCTCTTCCAGGACAAACTAAAACGCTGTTTGTCAATGACAATAATCTTGCGAGGCTGCAGACCATAGAGGTAGTGTCTTACTTGGAAAATTAACACGTTTCTCTTCTTGACTAATTTCTCTTTTGTTTTTTTTCTCTGTCGTAGATACCGGAAGCGTGGGGAACGGTAAAGGTACAAGCAAAGGGTGCCGGTTACGCAATTTTGCAAATGTCTGTACAGTACAACGTGGACATCGCTAAATTCATAACACAACCGCCTGTCAAGTCTTTCGACTTGATAACGAGAGCGAATTTTCATGGCAGAAATCAGTCTCACATATCGTACCTCAGTTGCCAGAGGTAGTAACACCAGATATGTTTAAATGTTGTAACTTATTGTTTTTATACCAGCTTTCCTTTTTCCCTCACCAGGTGGATAAATACGAATGAGTCTTCTCGTTCTGGAATGGCTGTGTTGGACGTGGCTATTCCAACAGGTTATATAATTCAACAACAGACATTGGATACATACATCCAGTCGAAACAGGTGAGAAATCTTCAGAGGGCACGTTTCCAGGAGAGGAAAGTTCTCTTTTATTTCGATTACTTGGACCAAGAGGAAACGTGCGTGAATTTTACTATAGAGAGGTGGTTCCCCGTTGCGAATATGTCGCGATATCTTCCCATCAGAGTTTATGACTACTATGCTCCAGGTAACTGCTCATAGTTAAATGTGATTACTAAGATTTTTGCAAGAGGTGAGTTTCTTTTTAAATATATATATATATATTTTTTTTTTGTTTACTTTCTTTTCAGAACGTTTCAACGAAACTATATTCGACGCCCTGCCCACTTACACGCTAAATATCTGCGAAGTTTGCGGCAGCTCTCAATGTCCTTACTGTCCGATTTACAACACTGCCACGATGTTAGCCACGCCAACAGGTTTTCTGCTTGCGATTTCCGTTCTAGTTGTCGTGACGAGATACTTTCGAACACAGGAGTTTAGCGCTGGTTAATCTTTACATTTGCAACATATGATTTAACAAAACAAAAAAAAAAGAAAAAAAAATGAAAAGGGAAAGGTGAATATTCTCAGTTTTATTTTTTACTTTGCATTGCCGTGTTATCTCAATTTTTCTTTCCACAAATCTCTGTCATTTTTTTCCACAAGGTGCAAAACCTGAAAATGCACGTACACGCGATCAATTAAAAATAATGTTCCAGTTAATTGTAATCATCTTCTTTTTTATTATTACTGCAGTATTTCATTACGTTCTAACGAAAAAATAAAATCCGTCCATTTGTAATTTGTTAAGATATATATCGACAATTTTATATTTATATAATCTAGAAACTTTAATAAAAACACGTATTTTTATACATTTCTTAACTTCACAGTATTTGACGTTTTATATCGATTTATTCAAGTGTTTTCAGCGTTTTACGTATAGTTTAACGATTCAAAACCGTAGTTGAAACAATATGTTCTAGGAGGCAAAGAATTTTCAAGTACAAATGATACTTAGTCGAGATCGAGTTTTTGTAAGTGTGACACACCAAAAAAACAAATTTTTATAGATCTTTTAGTAATAACTTCCATTGTGAAATTATGTTCATCTTGTTCTTCTCGTTTTCAATCGATTTTTTGAAAATTCAGATTTTGTTGAATCTCACTGTTTTCTTTTTTTTTTTTTTTTATAATTCTACGTCTTTCTCGCAATGCTCTCCTGCTTTTAAGATATGTTCGAAAACTACGTTGCAACTTTTCTGTTCAAACGTGCCACGTTCTTTGCATTAATTCTTTATGATTTGAAAAATCATGCTCATAAATCGTGCCTTCGCGATGCCTCTTGAACACTGTCAATTTACGAATCGAAGATTTACATTCCGATTGAGAAAAGTTGCTATCGATCGGGAATTCGTGTAAATAATAGGTTTAGAAAAAAGGATCTACGAATATTGACGTCATTCTGACGCATGCTTGTCGTACTTTTCCGAGTGTAAGAAAAAAGAAGCATGACAATACATATGAGATATATTGTTCGAATGTATTTTGTCTCTAGAAAAAGTTTTATATTCTTCTGTATAGTTATTTGTCCGTTCAAATATCAAAGATCTATTTTTTAGTAATTGTGACAAAATGATGCATTAACTTGTAAGTTTTTTAAGAATGTTATGTCGTTGATATTTTGAAAATGTGCGACATTTTTACTTAATTGATCATTTATTCAATAATTCGTTAAAAGTGTTTTTTTTTTTTTGTGTGTGTGTAAAAAAGAAATGATAAACATTTTTAAAAATATTGTCGCATATTTTCGAATGATGTAATAGCGCATATAATATTACTAATACCGTCCATGAAAAAGTCTGCTTCGTAATAAAACAATAAGATGTACTAATATTAATAACTCGTTATAAAGCGAGCGCGTACAGCCATCGCATCGTTTTTGTATCATTAACTTTTTTGATGTTAAGACCACGAGTTTTTTTTTTTATTGATTGTAACGTGAATTAAATTATTTGTAAATCAAATTTTTATAAAGCTGGCTGTTCGCTCGTGTTGTCCGTCCGAAGATATATCTAAACCATCGGAAATGAAAAGAGCAGCATTTAACGTATGTTGAACATATTTTCAAGTTTTATAACCTTTATACAAATAAAATAAGTGAAAAAAGATACTTTGCTTACATTTTCTCTTTTCGCATTATAAAAGATACTTCGATAATTATTATCGTATAATATATCAAGATATATTCTGAATAATTTTGTACATCGTATGTACTACATAGATACACACATATATGTACAATACACTTTAGTTTTAAATGCTTACCTACGTGCGTATTTATACGCAAAAATATATTCTGAATAGATAGTACATTACACAGCACTACAATTTAAGACAAATTTGAAGACCAAAGTAGAATAACTTTGGATTACTTTTTGGATGAAAGTTTGAGTTCTGGACCAATCTTCAGTTTTAAATATACATGCGTGTTTATACACAAAAATATATTTTGAATAGATAGTACATTTCACAGTACTACTATTCAAGACCAAAGTAGAATAACTTTGGACGAAGTTTGAGTTTTGGACGAATCTAAAAACAACGGCAATTATTTTCGAAGCAATCTTTAATGTAGCAACATAGTCAGTCTTACAATAATAAGCCAAAAATACAATCTATATATCGAGCTTCTGGAGACCGGGCGAAAAAATGATTTGCGTTTTCCTTCGTGAAACAAATTGCAGGACCGAAGAAAGAGGAGGGGAAGGAAAACGTGCGATCCTTTCGCCCGAACCCGTCGAGACGAAATTTTACAATTTTACACGTAATTATATGGTGTATCACGTTGCGAAACTGTAGGTCCTGTGTTCTCCCACGATGCAGGTGCGTCGACAAAATAAAAGAACGTCAAGGGAGAAAAGAATGTATGCGTTATGGGTCCGCGATCATTCTCTTCGTCGCGGCAACCGGAATGATATATTATTGGTCCTACTTTCTTTGGAACCCTTCGTTCTTTTCGATTACTTAGCTGGCGAAAAAAAAAACAAAAAAGTCTAGCAGTCTAACAACGAGCGCAGAAATGTGTCACGACGGTGTAAAAAATATTTTTTATTTGTAAATCGGAAATCGAGAAAGCGTACACTTCTTCCGTTATGCAAGCGAATTATCGCTATGAATATTTATTTACCCTTTTAACTTAGCCTTAGAAAGAGATACTATACTACGTGTATGTAAACTCCACCTTTTGTAACGAAAGACAGAGAGAATAGGAATGGACATGGTAGAAAGGTGTCGGTGAGACGAGGGTTTGCTCCGAGTACACATTTCTGAGCTGAATATCGTCGCGAGTTCCATCCACATGCGAACTGATCAAGTGGTTCAACTCGCTTCTCAAAGGCGACACACGGCCTTTGGTACACTGACAGACACTGAAAAACTCCATCATCTCGCAGGGGAGTTTTCATCAGGTTTTTCTCCGGATTTTGGAAGTTTGCACGGGAACGAGTCATCACGCGTTTGTAGAGATAAAGTGCGTTCAAAATACAATCAGACGGTACATGATAACGATGATCTTGAAAAGCAGAGATCTAAAGGGAGGTCTCCGTAATTAAGGCCCGACTGTTTTAACAATACAGGATTAAATTATCCTTTATAAACTGCTTTCTCCAATTGCATTAGCTAATGCCTTTTTTTCTCAGTTATTAATTCTGATCGCCGGATTATTTCACGTGAGAAACCAAGACTAACTTCTCACTTAACATTATTAAAAAACAATTAAACACATGGAGTTGCTTGAGTACAGGAGATATTACAATAGCGAAAACTATGAAAGTTTACCTAGTAAAATTCCAACCATGAATGTTTCAAGAAAAATCTTCTTTCGCTAAATTCTCGTCTGAACACATCGGACGTTAATTACAGATTGCTTTAAGAGACACGTAAGATACAATTTCGGGCCTAAATTATAACCAGGATGGGGGGAAACGATCGATACAAATATATAGATATATTATAATAGTTATTTGATGAAACATTTAAAGCCTTACATAAAATATACAGTATGATGTGTATCGTCACGCATGTATGATAAAATTGTGTGGTAGCTGTTTTATGTGCGCAGTGTGTATACGTGTGTACGTGTATGGTTTTATACGAATTCCCGTACAGAGAATAATTATGCCACATGTCGAATTTTATCAGAGCATGTATATATATATATA